TTATTGGTCGTATGTGTATCTTCCTTGAAGAAATGTCTATTCAGGTCCTTTGCCCATTTTAATTGGGTTGTTTGTCTTTTTTTAAATTGAATTTTAGGAATTCTTGATATATTCTAGATATAAAGAAGATATCCCTTATCAAGTATATTGTTTGAAATTATGTTCTCCCATTTTTTGTGGGTTGTCTTTTCATGATGATATATTTTGAAACACAAAAGTTTTTAATTTTGATGAAGTCCAATTTATCTGTTTTTTCTTTTGTTGCTTGTGCTTTTGGTGTCATATCTAAGAATTCTTTGCCAAACCCAAGTTTTGAAGATTTACTCTTGTGTTTTCTTCTAAGAGTTTTTAGTTTAAGCTCTTACATTTAGGCCTCCAACCCATTTTGAGTTAATAGTTGTATATAGTGTGAGGTAAGGGTCCACCTTCATTTGTTTGCATGTGGATATCCAGTTGTCCTAGCATCATTTGTTGAATAGACTATTCTTTCCCCATTGAATGGTCTTGGCAACCTTGTTTAAGATCAGTTGACCACAGATGTCTGGGTTTAGTTAAACCCATGGATATATGGGTAAAGTTAAACATAGAATTACCATATGACCCAGCATTTACACTCCTAGACAAATACTCAAAAGAATTGAAAACAGATACTCAAACAAATACACGTATGTGCATGTTCATGGCAGCACTATTCACAATAGCCAAAAAGTGGAAACAACCCAGATGTCCATCAACAGATGAATGGGTAAACAAATTATGGTGTGTGTCTATATATATATAATGAAATATTATTCAGTTATAAAAAGAAATGAAGTACTGATTCATAGTACAACATAGATGAACCTTAAAAACATGCTAAGTTAAAGAAGCCAGACACAAAAGATCACATATTGTATGAATCTATTTATAGGAAAAAATAGAATAGGTGAATCCATAGAGACAGAAAGCTGATTGGTGGTTGCTAGGGCCTAGAGGGAGGGGGAACTGCTAATGCATAATGGATACAGAGTTTCCTTTTGGGGTGATGGAGGTGGTGGTTACGCAACATCGCGACCGTACTTAAATGCTACTGAATTGTTCATTTTAAAATGGTTAATTTTTGTCATGTGACTTTCACCTATGTGTTCTTTGGCCTTGCCTCCTCCTGCTCCCCCAGAGGTAATCTCCTTCAAGTCTTTTTGGTATTTCTTTCAATATTTAACTCATTTTTCATTGTTATCACATTTCTCAATGTTATATTTATACTTATACTATTTTCTTTAGATTCACTAATCTAAAGACTGATAGGTGAGATATAAGTTCTCTTATAGCACCTTTCCCATCCTCCCAATATACTTATTTCACCATTTTTGCTTAAATTAATACTCTATGTTTAAATAATTATGATTCTGGTGTAGTTCGCTGCTGAGTCAAATAGTATACTATTAGTATGTTTCCTCTCAGAGAGAACCTTTATTTTTCCTGGACCTGAATAATTGCCCTGTTTTCTCCTCCATTAGAATAGGTATAAAGAAACTAAACAAATTCTTTCTGTACTTTTCTCACAGCCTCTTGATACAATTCTATACTCGGCCAAATGTGTCAGATTTCCCGTCAGTCTTCTGTTTTTCCTGGAGCCCTTTGTCTTCTTGTTACAATCTAAACAGGTAGCTCATTAAGCCTGCTTCACAGCTGTGATCCTAGAAATTTCTTTAACTCTTTCCTGCATTGAATCTCCTATTTCCTTTAGCCCATGTCTTCTTTCTTGGTTTACATCCTCATTTTGGTGGCACGTGTTCTCTAGTAGCATCATGAGAAAGGATACATAAGAGGTAACTTTTGTGAGTATCTAAAACTACTTCTATTCTATTCTAAAACTTCTGATTATTTGGCTGGGTAGAGATTTCTGGGTTGAAATTCATTTTCTCTCAGAATTTTGAAGGCATTGCTCCATCTTCTAAGATTACCATTGAGAATTTGATACTATTCTTATTCTTAATCTTTTGTATCCACCCCTCCCCTTTCTGAAAGCTTTGGAATCAAAATGATCTCTTTCTCTGTAGTGTTCTGAAATTTCACAGTGAGACAAGGTGCTGTGGTCTTTTTTTCTTTCATTTTCCTAGATACTTGATGAACCCCTTGGGAATATATCTTACATTATTTCTTTGATAGCTCTCTCAGTTCTCACTTTCTGGAGAAAACATTAGATCTCTGATTTAATCATCTTACTTTTTTTTTTTTTAATTTATTTAATGTGCGTGTGAGGAATATCAGCCCTGAGTTAACATCCATGCCAATCCTCCTCTTTTTGCTGAGGAAGACTGGTCCTGGGCTAACATCCGTGCCCATCTTCCTCCACATTACATGGGACGCTGCCACAGCATGGCCTGACAAGGCGGTGTGTCGGTGCGCGCCCAGGATCCAAACCGGGGCTGCCAGCAGCAGAGTGCACGCACTTAACCACTATGCCACAGAGCCAGCCCCTAATCATCTTACTTTTTAGGAGATTGATTCACCTTCTTATTCTTTCCTTTCTATTACTTTTCTTTTTTTATAGTAAGGAGAGACTTTATTTAAAAAGATTATTCTGTGTGTGGGCAGGGGGGAGGTGTGGCTGGAAAGAGGCTTTTGCAACAGTGGGAGGGAGACTGTTGCAATAGACAAGACTGCTATGACCAGATCTGCAAGTGTCTCCTTTCTGTTGTATTTTATATTTTAATATTATCTATCAAATTGTTAATTTCCAAGAGCTCACTCTTGTTTTCTCATTGTTTCTTTCTTCTTCTCTTACTTTGCCTTCTTCCTTCTCACTCTACCCTATTCCATTCCTTCTACTGCTTTTCCGCCTTCCTCTCAGTCCTTTCCCCCCCCACCCCTGTTCATCCCCCTCCTCTTTCCTGGGCTTATCCTCTTCCTGCTTTTTCCTCTAGCATCCTGATCTTTTTTTAATTAGTAGTAGTAGTAATTACTTTATTATTATTATTATTTAATTATTTTATTGAGGTCATAGTGGTTTATAACATTGTGAAATTTCACGTGTACATTATTATTTATCAGTATTCTGTATAGACTGCATCATGCTCACCACCGATAACCTAACTTTTATGCATCACCATATATATGTGCCCTTTTACCCCTTTCGCCCACTCTCCCATCCCCTTCTCTTCTGGTAACCACTAATCTGTTCTCTCTCTCCATGCGTTTGTTTATCTTCCACATATGAGTGAAAGCATGCAGTGTTTGTCTTTCTCTGTCTGGCTTATTTTGCTTAACATAATACCCCAAGGTCCATCCATGTTGTTGTAAATGGGACGATTTTGTCTTTTTTTATGGCTGAGTCACATTCCATCGTATATATATACCTCATCTTCTTTATCCATTCATCAGTTGATGGGCACTTGGATTGCTTCCACATCTTGGCTATAGTGAATAATGCTGCAATGAACATAGGGGTGCATAAGTCTCTCTGAATTGTTGATTTCAAGTTTTTTGGATAAATACCCAGTAGTGGGATAGCTGGATCGTATGGTATTTCTATTTTTAATTTTTTGAGAAATTTCCGTACTGTTTTCCATAGTGGCCCAGCATCCTGTTCTTGATACCTTATTGTTAGAGCTTCTCTTATCAATGAGGACATGAATTATGGAATTTCTTATGTGTTCTTCATTTACTTTGTTTCTGTTTTCTTCTGTGCCTGCATTCTCTGTTTCTTCCAAATTGCCTTTATCTGTTTTTGTGTTTTGTGTTTGTTGTCTCCGTTTGATATATCTTTAGAGGCAAGGCTCTTATAAAGCTGATTGGAAGCTGTGTATGCATGAGTGGGGCTTGTGGACTAGTGGGTTTCACTGTAGAGTGACAGAGCAGGGAGCCAGTTTTTTGGCTGAAGGGCACCCAAATATCAGTTTCTAAGTTTTTGGAGGGGCTGTTCTGTTCCTCTAAAGAATAAAGATCTTCCACGTAAGTCAAAATTATCACTTAATCTATTATTTGTAAATTTAGGTATTTTAACATCACTTTTCCTTGGAATAGTGCACAGCTCAGTTTATTCATTAAAATAAAAGAATTGGACTTGATCCTTTCTATCCGTAACCAGTCTATAATGCTTTGCTACAACTCCCATATAGAATTTAAAGGTGTTTAGTATCTCAATATATATACATTAACTCACACATTTTTTTTCTACAGAGAGCCCGGCGAAGGTTTACTAATGCACCAGACACATATAGTGCCTTCTGGAGATAAGACTTATATATAAATTGGCATAATACAGCTCAGAAAACTATAAATGAGAACCAAACACATCTGGCTTTGAATTGTAGCACTGTCATATACAAGCTGTGTGACCTTGGGAAAGTCAAAATCCACTCTGAGCCTGTTTCCTCATTAATTCCACTGTCTGCCAGACCCTGTACTAGCATTGGAATGAGAGTAGCAAATAAAAAGTTTCCTCCCTTGGAGCCTCTATTTATTATATGTCATTATTAGCTACAATTCTGTTTTAATGCTCACATTTTATATCCTGGCATTTCTGTGGTTAAAATAATGGTAACACATACTTTTGTGTCCATACACTATACTTTTAAGGATCATTTCTTAAGAATATGATATGCATTTACGCCATTTGATTTTTTGAGTCTGAACTTGAAATGTTAAAAGTTTAATGAACTATAATAGGTTGGAAAATTAACTAAAATAGATAGTTTGTTTACCACAATTGATGTGAGGGTCATGTATCCTTCAGTGTACTGTAACTAGTATATAAATGTTGCATCTTCAGCTTTTTGCTATAATATTTTGCTGATTGTTGTTTTTACATTCTCTCTCATGTTATAAAATATTGTTAACATCTAAGTCTAGGAATTGAGATTCCCAAGATACTGATAAAAAAATGCTGTCATATAAATTTCTGTGCTTCACAGGTTTTGGAACTCAAGGAGATTCTTTTTATAATGGATGTTCTTGAAGCGGTATATCCCTAAGGGCACTAATGGATGCTTTTCCCTCTCGTTTTCTCAATTTAGGGAAACTAAAACCAACAATGGCATTCATGTCAGGAAAATTGAAGATTAAAGGAAACATGGCCCTTGCAATCAAATTGGAGAAGCTAATGAATCAGATGAATGCCAAGCTGTGAAGGAAAAGAGAAAAAAAAAATGTCGACCTCTAAGCTCAAAAAAAGTAAAAGGGCTCAACAGTTAAAATCTAATGTTTGTTTTCTTCCCTATTGTATTATAAGGATATGCATGTTTGTTCTGGAAAAAATAGAATTTATGTATCTATAAGACTTGAAATTGTAATTAAAACAGCTAGTTATAAGGTTCATTAAGTGGAATTCTAAGACATTCTGTTTTTAGTATTTTGTAAGTTTTGCCCTCTCAGCCCTATAAATCATTCACCATCTTCTTCTAGGACAAGTATTTTGAGCAATCGATCAGAGTCAAGCAGTAAACTTAGCTCTTTTCAAAGCTTCTTGGGGCTGGCCCCATGGCCTAGTGGTTGGGTTTGGCGTGCTCCGCTTAGGCGGCCCAGGTTCACAGGTTCAGATCCCGGGCACAGACCTACACCACTCGTTAGCCATGCTGTGGTGGCGACCCACATAAAAAATAGAGGAAGACTGGCACAGATGTTAGCTCAGGGCTAATATTCCTCAGCAAAAGAAAAAAAAAAGAAGAAGAAGAAGGAAAGGCTTCTTTCCATGTAAAATGAGGCTAGTTGGTTTTAAAAGTTTTAGTTTTGGATTGTATACTAATGAAAATCTTAATGATATTTTAAATTTTTATATACTTATTTTAAAGAAGATCTTCTACAATGCATTTTCACAGGAATCACATAATAAACTACTTAATAAATACTATTTATAAAGACTAATGAAACAAAAAATGTTTTTCATTTTGTTAACTATCTTTCCAGGTGCAAGTTATCTATAGGAAAATATTAATGTAATTCAACTAATTGCAGTATGTATCCTATTTTAAAGTATGTTAAAATGTCCTAAAATAAAATTATAACCAGGGGCCCTCCAGGACCAGTTCAATTGACCCCATCTCTTATCAACAGAGTGACTAAGAATTGCCTTTCAGAAAATCTGCAAAGTTACTAGCCAGGGCATGTGCAAAAGAAGAAATCGTGACCTGAAACAACCTCAGAACCAAAGATCCTCCTTCCCACGGAATCCAAGGACGGGGACATGACCGGAACTTGAAAGTCAGACTCTTATCAGAAGCAAGGGGTCCCTCACTGAGGAAGATCCGGTGTTAAAATTCCTTGCCCACTTCATCAAGAATGTTTAGAACCCCATCATAAATGTTTAGAACCTCATCATAAATGTTTAGAACCCTGTCATAAATGTTTAAAACTTTACCATAAATATTTGAAGCCCACCAATCAAAACCTGTCCCACCAGCGTTTCTGCATGCCAGCTTGTTCTCCCTGACCTCTTAAATTTTGCCCCAAATCTTGAATTGGAGAGATAGATCTGATGGCACATGCCCCCTGTCTCCCTGCAGGTCAATCTCACAGAATAAAAGCTGATTTCTCCCCCAAAGGCTGATGCCATAATTAATTGGCTTGTTTATGTGCATTGGGCAGAGAACCCCAATTTTGTGCGGTAACAAAATAATTTCTCCTCAGAAGTATGCACTGGGTCACAGTGTTTTGAAATGAGAACAGTAGAATAGATGGTTGTTACGAGCTTAATTGATTGCCACCTGAATTCATATCTTGAAGTCCTAACCTCCGATATCTCAGAATGTGACTGTATTTGGAGATAAATCCTTTAAAGGGATGATTAAGTTAAAATGAGGCTTTTAGGGTGGGCCCTAATCCACTGTGGCTGGTGTCCATATAAGAAGAGGAACTTTGGACACAAAAGAGAGACTAGGAACGCACACAGAGGAAAGACTACGTGAGGACACTGTGAGAAGGTAGTTATGAGCAAGTCAAGGGGAAAGGCCTCAGAAGAAACCAAATCTACTGATACCTTGATCTTAGACTTCTAGTCTCCAGAATTATAAGAAATTTCTGTTGGTTTAGCCACCCAGTCTGTGGGATTTTGTTATGGCAGCCCCAGCAAACTAATACAATGGTTTGTTTTTCTTTTTTTTAAAAGCTAAAATTCAAAAAGAAAAAAGCCGTTACTTTTAATTTTAATCAGTTAAAAATCCTTGCTTGGTGTAATTCTTTTATTTCTTATCTTCCGGAACTCTCTAATATTATTGTGCTATTAAGCAACTTAGCTGATTCTGACATTGCGTGGAATCATAATGTTAGGGGTATTTAATGTATATTTTACAAATGAGGAAACAGGATCAGAGATGGGAAACTAGCCCAAGGCCGAAATTCACAAGCCCTATCCAACAAAAACCTTCCAGTACATTTGCCTTGAATAGAACTTGAAGACCTCACCTCCCCCTCCAGGAAGCCCAAATAGATTGACTTTGGGGTGGTAGCCTTACAACTCCTTTGGCATCTCCCAGTCATTTCTAGCTGGGAGATCCTGGTCAGATGTTGCCAGCAGGCTCCTCTTCTACTAAAGTTTTCTAAAGACTTCTCCGTTTTCTTGGCATTCTCCAAATAATCTGAAAGCTTTGGGAAAATAAAAAGTAGAAAATATTGTGAGGCAGGGGGCCGGCTCCGTGGCTTAGCGGTTGGGTGCACTCGTTCTGATACTGGTGGCCCGGGTTGGGATCCCGGGCACGCACCGATGCACCGCTTGTCCGGCCATGCTGAGGCAGCGTCCCACATACAGCAACTAGAAGGATGTGCAACTATGACACACAACTATCTACTGGGGCTTTGGGGAGAGAAAGGGAAAAAGAGGAGGAGGATTGGCAATAGATGTTAGCTCTGGGCTGGACTTCTTCAGCAAAAAGAGGAGGATTGGCATGGATGTTAGCTCAGGGCTAATCTTCCTCACACACACAGAAAAATATTGTGAGGCGGGAATTCTGGGTTCTGGTCACTAAACGTGAACTTGCTAACTGAAAGGCTTTAGGATACTGGAAGAAACTCTTTCCACAGGGCCCTGGTTTTCACATCAGTAATTGAGGGAATTGGATGAGGTCATCTGCAGCCCCTCTGTGCTCATTATCACCAAGTACTGAGCAGTCTGTATTATTCTGTCAGAAATAAAGGTGACCATTCCTACATTCCTGAAACCTCCTCTCTTGCCACATCCCTCAGCTGCCTTAATGAATTCACTTGTTTCCTTTTCCTGGATCTTGCCCATTAACTGCACTGAAGTTGTAGATCCTCCCAAAAGTTCTGAATGGCCATTTTGTGTGTTGTCCAATAGCCAGTTGAGCCCTGTTTCTGAAACAGAATGGTGTCGAGGGAAATCACGCCATTGGACTTTTTAGTGATTGAGTGAAATTATTTAGATATTATTTTTAAGATGGTTTGTTGCTAGTAATCCGATATTTAAACAAATCCTCTTATAGTGCTTCTTAAATAATCCTCTTAAGTAGAAGAAAAAAGTCTTCTTTTTCTACCAAAAGTTCTCAGCTGGGGCCCTGTAAATTAGAATAACAAAGATAGATTAACAAGAGAAAAACAAAGAGAAGTTTATTAACGTGTGCATTGCACATGTACATGGGAGCATTCAGACATGAGTTAACTCAAAGGGTGGTTAGAACTTGAGCTTATGTAACATCTGAACAAAAGAACAATACATTTTTAGAGTAGTAACAAGACAAAAGAAAAGGACTTTCAATTTCTAAGGGTGGCAAATTGTTCAAAGGAAAATATATGGATTGTTTCCTGAGAGTAAGTCTAGTTTTGTAAGAAACCACCATACACCCGAAATTTATACAATGTTATAAACCAATGTTACTGCAATAAACAGAACATTAAAAAAAAAAAAAAAAAAA